AGGTGAGTTTCTTGTAAGCAGCATATAGATGGGTCTTGCTTTTTTATCCATTCTATTACTCTATGTCTTTTGATTGGTGCATTAAGTCCATTTACATTTAGGGTGACTATTGAAAGATATGTACTTATTGCCATTGCAGGCTTTAGATTCGTGGTTACCAAAGGTTCAAGGTTAGCTTCTTTAGTATCTTACTGCCTAACTTAGCTCGCTTATTGAGCTGTTATATACACTGTCTGGAGAGTCTTTTCTTCTCTCCCTTCTTATTCCTCCTCCTCCATTCTTCATATGTTGTGTGTTTTGTTCTGTGCTCTTTTTAGGGGTGCTCCCATCTAGAGCAGTCCCTGTAGGATGCCCTGTAGAGGTGGTTTGTGGGAAGCAAATTCCCTCAGCTTTTGCTTGTCTGGGAATTGTTTGATCCCACCATCATATTTAAATGATAGTCGTGCTGGATACAGTATCCTTGGTTCAAGGCCCTTCTGTTTCATTGCATTAAGTATATCATGCCATTCTCTTCTGGCCTGTAGGGTTTCTGTTGAGAAGTCTGATGTTAGCCTGATTGGTTTTCCTTTATAGGTGACCTTTTTCTCTCTAGCTGCCTTTAAAACTCTTTCCTTGTCCTTGATCCTTGCCATTTTAATTATTATGTGTCTTGGTGTTGTCCTCCTTGGATCCTTTCTGTTGGGGGTTCTGTATAATTCCATGGTCTGTTCGATTATTTCCTCCCCCAGTTTGGGGAAGTTTTCAGCAATTATTTCTTCAAAGACACTTTCTATCCCTTTTCCTCTTTCTTCCTCTTCTGGTATCCCTATAATACGAATGTTTTTCCTTTTGTATTGGTCACATATTTCTCTTAGTGTTGTTTCATTCCTGGAGATCCTTTTATCTCTCTCTATGTCAGCTTCTATACGTTCCTGTTCTCTGGCTTCTATTCCTTCAATGGCCTCTTGCATCTTATCCATTCTGCTTATAAATCCTTCCAGGGATTGTTTCACTTCTGTGATCTCTTTCCTGACATCTGTGATCTCCTTCCGGACTTCATCCCACTGCTCTTGCATTTTTCTCTGCATCTCATCCCACTGCTCTTGCATTTTTCTCTGCATCTCATCCCATTGCTCTTGCATTTTTTTCTGCATCTCTGTCAGCATGTTCATGATTTTTATTTTGAATTCTTTTTCAGGAGGACTAGTTAGGTCTGTCTCCTTCTCAGGTGTTGTCTCTGTGATCTTTGTCTGCCTGTAGTTTTGCCTTTTCATGGTGATAGAGATAGTTTGCAGAGCTGGTACAAGTGACCGCTGGAAGAGCTTCCCTTCTTGTTGGTTTGTAGCCTTTTCCTGGGAGAATAGCGACCTCTAGTGGCTTGTGCTGGGCAGCTGTGCGCAGACAGGGCTTCTGCTTCCTGCCCAGTTGCTTTGGGGTTTATCTCCGCTGTTGCTGTGGGCTTGGCCTGGCTGGGGCTGTTCCTCCAAAATGGTGGAGCCCCGTTGGAGGGGGAGCAGCCAGGAGACTATTTATCTCCGTAAGGGGCCTCTGTGCTCCCTGCTGCCCAGGGGGTTAGAGTGCCCAGAGATCCCCAGATTCCCTGCCTCTGGTCTAAGTGACCTGTCCTGCCCCTTTAAGACTTCCAAAAAGCACTCTCCAAACCAAAACAACAACAGCAACAATGAGAGAGGGAACAGAAAGAAAGAGGAAAAAAAAAAGGAAAAAAAAGGAAAAAACAAGCGATTTTTTTTTTTTTTTTTTTTTGTCCTCAGGCGCCGGTCCCAGGCACCCGCTCACTGGTCCCGCTGCCCTGCCTCCCTAGCACCGGGGTCCCTGTCCCTTTAAGGCTTCCAAAAAGCACTCGCCAGAAAGAGAAAAAAAAAGGGGGGAAAAACGCGCAATTTCCTCCGTCCTCAGGCGCCGGTCTCCGGCACCTGCCCACTGGTCCCGCAGGGAAAAACACGCGATATTCTTTGTCCTCAGGTGCCGGTCCCAGGCACCCGCTCAACAGTCCTGCCACCCTGCCTTCCTAGCACCGGGGTCCCTGTCCCTTTAAGGCTTCCAAAAAGCACTCACCGAAAAGAGATAAAAAAAGGGGAAAAGCGCGCGATTTCCTCCGTCCTCAGGCGCCGGTCTCAGGCACCTGCCCACCAGTCCTGTAGGGAAAAACACGTGATAATCTTTGTCCTCAGGCGCCGGTCCCAGGCACCCCCTCACTGGTCCCGCCGCCCTGCCTCCCTAGCAACGGGGTCCCTGTCCCTTTAAGGCTTCCAGAAAGCACTCGCCAAAAAGAGAAAAAAAAAAAGGGGGGAAAACGTGCGATTTCCTCCATCCTCAGGTGCCGGTCTGAGTCACCCACCCACCAGTCCCATAGGGAAAAACGCGCGATCTTTGTCCTCAGGCGCCGGTCCCAGGCACTGCTCACCCGTCCCGCTGCCCTGCCTCCCTAGCAACGGGGTCCCTGTCCCTTTAAGACTTCCAAAAAGCACTCGCCAAAATAAAAACAGAAAAAGAAAAAACCGCTCCGGTTTCTTCCCACCCGCCGGGAGCCGGGGGGAGGGGCCCTGGGGTCTCACCAGGCCGGAGCTTGTATCTTACCCCCTTCGCAAGGCGCTGGGTTCTTGCATGTGTGGATGTGGTCTGGATGTTGTCCTGTGTCCTCTGGTCTCTATTTTAGGAAGAGTTTTGTTTGTTATATTTTCATAGCTCTATGTGTTTTTGAGAGGAGATTTCCAGTGCTCTACTCATGCCACCATCCTGGCTTCGCCCCCTATCTTGATCTTTTTTCCCTGTATATAGGATCTTTTCCCTCTTTTTAAAAATCATTATTATAAAAATACTATGTGAGTACATTCTCATTGTAAGTGTTTTAAACAGTGTAGTAGAATACAGAACAGAACATGAGAGTCTCTTTTCACTTCATTCTGCAGTGTTCCCCAACATACATTTCCTTCCTCACAAGTAACTACCAGCAACACTTGGGGGGTCCATTCTTCCCACCATCATCCATAATGTGTGTATGTGTGTGTGTACAGGCACACTTATGAAACAGAGGCTCATATTTTTGTGTGTTACACAATGACTTCCTTTTTTTTTTTTCCAGTTACTCATAACACAATATGTCTTGGGAAATCTTTCCCTGTCAGGACATATAGGCCCAAGATGTTTTCTTTCCTTTTCTTTGTTGTTGTTAATAGTTATGTAAATTCATTTTATGGGTGTACTTGGAGTTTAACTGCTCACCTATTGATGGACATTTTACTCTTACGTTTTACTCTTAAGGTGAAGCAGACCTGTACAAGCATGTGTCTTTCTGCATGTGTACACGTGTTTCTGTTGGATAGTTGCCTGGAAGTGGAAGTGCTGGCTCAAAGCAAATGCCTATGTTTTCTTGGGCTGAATCTACCTGTCTGTCTGTCTATCTGTGATGTAAGCTGGGACTCATTTCTGTTACTCCATAGAGCTTTAGACAGGAGATGAAATAAACTTGTACACTCAATGCACTATCCTGACAAATTTTTCTCACACATTCTTTCTATATACAGTGTTAACAAATCTTGGTTTTTTTCTCCTTCCCCTTATATTATAATTTTATTGCATAACAGCATAAATGGTGAAATAAATATGATGTTCTGCTCTGTGTCTGTTCCTTAGTTTACCATAACTTTCTCTATTGATGGACTTTAGGGCTATTTACAAATTTCATTATTATAAATAATGTTGCTTCCAAAATCTGAGTGAAAAGGCTCTGGGCCCAGATGGTTTCACTGGTGGTTCTTTATAATTGTAGTTCTCTATGTCAATGATTCCTGAATGCAGAAATGAGTAGATAGCTACCCAGCTGATCTGTGTCCCAAACCTGAAACTGATACCATCCAGTTGCAGTAGCACAAGAAATGAAAACCTTAGACCAACCTTATTCACAAATGCATATGTGAAAATCCTAAGTAAAGCCATCTCAAGTAGATACTCCCAAATTCAGCTCACCAAGGTGGCCACAGTGGATTTATCAAATCACAGTGGATTGGTGGCCAAATCAGGTTTATCCTAGCAATAAAAGAATGGCTCAATATTAAGAAACCTACTGATAACAACATATTAGTTGGTTAAATGTGAAAAATTATGATTGTCTCCATAGATGCAGAAAATGCATTTAAATTGAATAGCTATTTATAATAACATTATTTAAGGAAAAAATAAGATACTTCCTTTACATTTTGTAGAGCATTTACTTCAAACCAACTGCCAACAACATTAGAGGCATTCTCATTAAAACCAAAGACAAAATAAAGCTACCCTCTACTACTAAAAAATTTTTTAGAAGCTCTGGCCAAGGCAGTAAGGTGTGGAACAGAAATAAGAATTAAGGCTTTGAAGATTACATAAGATGATATTTTGGCCTTCCTACTCTGGTATTTCTGATTCAAATAAGGCACCCAAACTGTAGATTCACTTTGTTATTCCTCTTATTATCAATAAGACATTTGAAAAGAAAAGACCAGTTGTCTTTGCATCTTAACACATGTATCCTGATGTTTTTATTAATGTGGGTTCTTTGATCCTTGAACCTTGCTGGTTGAAATGTCTTTAGTATCTGTAGGTCTGTGCTGAGATCTCTCTCAAGCCTTCAGTCACCAGCATAGCACTGGGTGCTCAATACCTGTTACTGTGAGTAGTTTGGTTCACTGATACATTTGATGACCTTTCAGTGAGCTGTTCTTTCAATCCTGGGACTGTTCAGAAGCACAAGTCCCAGATTGGGTGAATAACGTAGTTACAGATGAGAAGGGTACAGAAGAACAAGCTCTTAAATGATGACACTTGTCTTGACACTTGACTCCTTGTTCAGCAAATCATTGTGTACCCTGGTGCTTACATTTCTGTGGTAAATAGCTGCTGTCCTTTGTCAGGAGTCATGTAGAAGTAACTGGTTTAGTTAAACACTACACAGAATTATTTTCCAGGCAGCTAGCTGTCTCTAGATATGATTTGTGACTTCAGTCTTTCTTTTTCCTCTATAGCATCTGGAGAGGGCCAAATGTGAACTGTGTTGACAGCACTGGGTACACACCTCTGCATCATGCTGCTCTGAATGGTCATAAGTGAGTATAAATGTGCTACATTCCTGCACACCCTTCAAAACCCAGGCCTTCAGATTTTCTTTTTGGTTCCTATATAGGATTACTAAGCAGTGGCACTGAGGAGCAGCAAAAAACAAAATAAATTCAGCCCATCCAGGATTATTATTAGTGTATAATTTAAACATTCTTCCCTACTCCACCCCCCAAAAAAACTTGAACGAAGGTTAAGTTTTACCTTTTCTTTTGTTTGTCCTATTCCCCTTTGAAATGGCACAGTGCCACACAGTAATCTGAATATGAAGATTAGATGTGGGGCAGCCAGGTCATATAGGGGCTAGATAATCTTAACCAGCCCCTTTGTAAACTGAAAGGGCAATTAGATGATTATGAGAAACATCCCTTCTGTTAAAGTAGTTGTTTATTTACTCTTTTGATTGCCATTCTCTCCTCATAAAATTGGCTTTTTAGACAAAAAGAACCATATTTAAGGAGAAAAAACGCAAATAGTATTGCTTATTTAATTAAGTATAGTTTATTGAGAATTGGGTGGGGTTTGAGTGGAAAGTTTTCCGAAGAAGGTGTGCTTTGAGAGGTAGTTGGAGAGAAGGTGGCATGGGTTTAAATGATTTAACAGCATAAAGGGTGCTGCCCTTCAGGTAAGGGAGAATGTGATGGCTCAGTGAAGAGGCAGGCATGGTTGTGGAGTACAGTAAGTAAATTTGCCAGAATGGGGAAGAATAGAAAGCAGAGTTTAACAGAATGGAGGATGTTAGAGAGAGTTTGAGGCATAATACCATGCAAGATGAACAGAAGTTTAGTTTTTATGAGGAGGGATTATTGAAACCATTTTAGATTTTTCTGAGCAAGGGGCAGGGCTCTCACCACCTTCTGGTACTCTATATTGCTTGTGCAACATTTGGTCCAGCCTAATTGACTCTTATGTGCTGGAAAGAGGCGATGATTGCTTCCTTCTACATTAAACTTTTCTAAAATAGATTGAATGTGATCATTATGTTTTTTTCTACAGCCATTTTAGACAAAGTCAACAAGAAATCTGTAGAGACCCCACCCCACTTAAATAGTGGGGTAACCTGAATTAAAGTGAGTCTTGAACTTAAATGACTGTAACGTGTAGCCAAGTTCATCTGCAGATGGTGTTTTTATTTACAGTGGGGATTTTCTTTGACCTCATGTGTATTGGGGATAATTACACACTTGTATCTACTTAATTAGTAGTGTCACCAAAAAGAAAGCCAAGTCCTTCTTTTTGGATGTATCAAATGAGACCATAACTAGCTTATGTGTGAAAAACTTTAGTTCTGCTCTACCTGACCGCTGAAGCTCCCACATCATTAAATGCTCTGAATGTGGTGAATAATGATATTTGTTTTGCATGACTACTTGTATGTATATTTTACCCCTGAATGCTGTTTAAATATCACAAACAAGAAAACATTTTAAGATTTAGACAAGGGGACCAGACGTTTTCAGAAAAATGGAAAATAGATGGATCATCTAGAAAGCCTGGATTAACAGGGAGGTGATGAGTCAGTGAAATGTGGCTCAGGATGGTTCAGCTGCTTATCAACAACAGCTGTACAAGTAGCTCATGGAATAAAAGGAAGAGACTGGGTAATAAGCTCAGGTAGATAGGGGAGCCAAATAAATGAAGAATATCTGTGCAAGGGTGTTGTGCTATACAAACATGAAGAGCTGACTTCTGCAAACTCATGGTTGATTTTTGCCTTCTAGGGATGTGGTTGAGGTTCTTCTGAGGAACGATGCGCTGACCAACGTGGCTGATTCTAAAGGCTGTTACCCTCTGCATTTGGCAGCCTGGAAAGGAGATGCTCAGATAGTGCGGTTGCTCATCCATCAAGGGCCCTCACACACCAGAGTCAATGAACAGGTCGGAAGGAAGGGAAGCTTTCTTCCATTGAGCTACAGCCAGACCTTGACAGCCCCAGTATGGTCTTACCCCATGGCTGAAATCTCAGGGAACCAGCTCTTCCATGCCCTAAGAGTGATTCCCCTCCTCTCAGCACTACTCCTCTTAGAGCGTCAGGGAAATCATATGCCGTGAGGATGCATTGTATATGCATTTGAATCATGCATATGTGGAATAGTACTATAATAGAGATATAACTGCCTCATGTGCAGAATTTGAAATAATGCTGCAAAATTGCTTTGAGTCCATTTCAAACTGATGGGCCTAATTAATTATAAAATGTGCTTATGCCATTGGCATGGCAACCCAACTTTAGCTGATAAACAGAAATACTCCCATTATATGTCAGCATATGTGCTCTGTGCAGTTGTTTTACATACATCAGAACTTGCAGAAGTGGAAGTAATCATGCTAGTGCTGAAAATGAGCTCACAAAAACATGTGAGTGAAGGTCAGAGGTGATCCAACAGAATGAACATCATTTACGTGGTGTCTTCTCGTGTTAATTTAAGACTGACCATGCATTGACAAAGCAGACATAATTCTTAGAAAACAGAAAAGGTAGATTTGGAGCAAAAATACCTTACAATGGTCATTGATATAGGTACTGAGACTGTACCTCCTCTTCTTTACATTTATTTCTTTGGAAAATTTACACTTGAGTTATGCAAATTCTACACAAGTCTTTCATAAACTACAATTCCCTGTAGTTTGAATTTGAAATTGTGTGTCCATCAGAGAGGAGATGGGCTTTCCCTATATGACAAGGCATTTTCTCTGCTCTGAGCTGAAGCAAGTACTTTTCTTAGTTGTTTGAATGAAAGAAATGCTGCTCTTTCTGAGTAAGCTCAGAACTGTTTTCCTGGTGACTTTGCTGAGAGGAGATTGTTAAATTACCTGTAGGATTAATTAGATCAGGATTATTCCTCAAAAATTGGAACTTATTCTTTCAAGTCCAGCTATCAACAAGACCATACAGATTGTCAGTGAGCTGTTAAGAGCATCATTTTGATTCAGAGAATGGCAGCTTCACTCCGAGGTGTGAGAAAGTTAATAAAGCAGTGCTCCCAAATCTCTCAGTTTGGAGATTGTGTATGTACAGATGTTAATCAGCTTTCCTTTCCCCTTCAGGCTGTATTTTTGATAGGTGAGCAACATTCAGAATCATCAATGAGGATGTTTAGTTTATAACATTAGGAATGAAAATTTCCTTTAGAATCTAAATGCAATTTTACTCCTGATTAAAGTGATTGTAATTTCTTTATCTGGAGGAAATTTTAAGGAATTTTGCTTTTAACTAATATCCCTCAATGTTAAAAAAAACTAGGCACCTATTAAAGTCCTTCTCATTTAAAAAATTTTCAGCAACCATTTCTAATCCTGTCTTTGCTCACTTTTGCGTCGGAACATAGCTGCTTGGATTGTTGAGCCACTTCAGTGTGCTAGCTTGTCCTGCTCACAGCTGCCTCCTGCTGGAATATCCATTGATATGTGGGACACCAACTCAGTGCTTTGATTATCTGGCAGTCATATGGGTAGGGCAGGGGCTGGGCAAGACGTCTCTAATACTTTGAAGAACCTAATGGATCTGGGTGGTAGTTACAAGTATTACACTGATTTATTTAAAAACCATTAATGTGGTTCCAGTTGGACGCTTGGATAAGAGGGGGTAATGGGTACCCTAGAGGTTGTTTTCCCCCATTAACTAACTTTTGAGCATCTAGAGGGCAGATCCAAGTTGTTCTAGTGCTGGGCCCCCTAGGGGCTGTGCATTGCTTTGATAAGTTCCATCCATTTTTATCATCACATTCTCTTTTCCTCTCCTTCTTATAGAATGCTCTTGAGATCAAAGAACTCAAAAAGTACGGCCCCTTTGACCCTTATATCAATGCCAAGGTGTGTATTTAGCTGCCAGGATTTCTCTGCATCATTTCTCCAAGCTGCGCTTTCTCTTTGGTCCTCTCTGGCTTCTACTCTTGTCCACTCAGGCTTCTCCTCATCACCCTGACTGTTGTCGCTTCCGCCCTGCCCACCTGCTTTTGGCTTGTCTGGGAATGGGCAAATGCAGCTTCAGTGGGTTTTGTTTTTGTTTATAAAACCCACACTAACTCTGGGAAGGTTGGATGCTTTTTCTGGAATGTCTGAAAAACTCAGAAATGGGGAAATAGAAGGGATCATATTATATGCATAATTTACTGTAGTGATTTCTGAAGCTATTTAAATTTTAAAAAATCAGTTAAAAGATGTCAAATTAGCTTACTTTTAAACATGCACAGAAAAAGGATTAAATTGTACTTTCTGGATTTTTAAAAAGTTCACTTAGTCTGCTTTCTCTATTTCTCTTGAAATGGAATCTGATTTTCAATAGCTTGTGGTGGAGGTGTGGGGAAAGGGGCATGGACGATTCCATTTTACTCTTAAAAGCTGTTGCTTATAATTGCCTCTCATTTCCTTGACCATGAGCTTGTACGTTTCTGCCTGGGGCTTTGAAGCTTCAGTCCTTTCTTCCCAGCCATTAGCTCCTCTCCCTCCCTGGTCAGAGGGCTCTGAAATTGGAAATGAAGTTGCAGGACCTAGTAGGGCTCTTGCTTTGAATCTCCCTCCCTGTGAGGCTGGTGCAAGTAAAGATCTGATAGGCCTGATGCTGAACAGCCCAGCCCCACTAAGCCTCATGGCCCCTCAGGCCCTCCCCATATCAGGAGGCAGAACTTGTGGATTCAGTGATGGTGTTAGCCTCTTCCTCCAAACTCTCACCTGCTGTTTTTGATTCAAATTTTCATTCAGATGAAGTTTGCTTTTTGGCAACAATCTACAGTTGAGTTGAGTCACTGCATCATTCACTTTAGCTACTTTTCATTTGCTCTGAATACAGCAGGAAAGGGAAACATAAGGTACTTCCATATGTTTCCAAACACAAGGCAGATATTTGATGTTTTTCTGTGAGAAATACTGATTTAACAAATGAAGCTCCCTGTGAGCTGAACCTAGGCAGGCTGTGTGGAAGATTGTATTCAGCTCTTGGGCCTCAGTGGTAGAGAAGCATTTGATCTGGGGTAGGGAAGCACATTGGCTTTGTTTTGTCCCACTCTTGAAATTTTGTTTTCTAATCTTCAATAGGAAGATGCTCCATCTTAGTTTTCTTCTTTTGTTTGGAAGTAGTGTGGTAGCGAAAAGGCTCACAATCAGTCTCAGGCCAGACCTGAGTGAATTTTGTGCTGTCCCGTACTGTTTTTACTGACTTGAACAAGTTAATTTCTCTGAGCTTCAGTTTCCTCATCCATAAAGTGGGTATACCATCTACCTTGCTGGATTGTTTAGAAGTTTAAATAAGGTAATACAGTAAAAATGTCTGATAACTAGTAATACTTTAGATCCTAATTTTAAAAGGTATATAGAAGGTGGTATTTCTGCAACAGCATTTTGGAATTTGTTCTTTGTTACTAGTGGGCAAAGCTTCATGTGACACGTGGCTCAATTGTCTGTTCAGGGTTTTGTTTTGTGGGGACCCACCTTGAAGTGACTGTTTTCCCACGTGGTTAGTTTAGTTAGCTTTTAAAGCTCTGATTAAAGGAAGGACTTCGGTTCCTGAGAGCACATTTTCCTATTCCTTGATTTTGCACACATAAAAGAAAATTAGATGGAATAAAACCATACTTCTTTCTTTGTAAATACTGCCCTTTGCCTCCCCACTCCCACACCTCCAACCCGCCAAAGGCCCAACCGTGGCAACTGCATTAAGGGATAAAGCTGTTGGGTTTTGCTAAGAATGCAAACTTGAACTGATTTGAATCTAACCTTCCTAGTTTTATCCTGTCTCAATGGGTTTTTATTGATCTGGCTTGTGTCTAGGAATTCTTTTGCCAAAGTATACTATCAGGTACCTGTAGAAATTTAAAAGTCTCAGCTGCCTTTCCTGGGAGCAGAGGTGGTTTTCATGAGCTTTCATCTTCTTCTTCAACATATGTTTCTTTTTCAGCAAGTCAGCATAAACCAATCCTTGGCTAAGGTGGAACTATCAAAATTGTTTATTTAAAGTAATTTTAAAACAACTTAGTCTGAATATCATAAGATAAGCAACAGTCACATTAGTTTTAGGATAGATCTATTGTTTTGTACACTTAAAAGTAATTCCTAGTTTTAAAAGCTGGAGGAGACCTGGAAGTTAGTTATCTAGACAGTTCTCTCCACATACTCATCAGCTAGCTTGTCTGGTTGCATCAGAACCACCTAGCAAGTTTGTATGTAACTTTTTCTTTTGGAAGAGCTTCCAACTTACAGGAAGTTACAAGAATAATACGGTGAACTGCATTACACTCTTCTCTGAGATTCACTGGTTTTAATATTTTGTCACATCTGTGTGCACTCTTGTCTATCTCTATGTAATTATTGTAGTTGATGAAGACTATTTGAGATTAAGTCATGACCCTTTAACTCCAAGTACATACTATAAGAACAAGGACATTGATTTGTATAACCACAGTACAATTATCAAATTCAGAAAACTCAACATTGATACAATACTGTTATCTAACTTACAATACATGTTCAGATTTCACCAATTGTCTCAATAATGTCCTTTTAGCAAAATTTTTTTCTGAACCAGGATCCAATTCAGGATCATACATCATCTGGAACAATTCCTCAGCTTTTCAAAGTCTTTCGTGACATTGGCAGTTAAAAGAGTATAGGCCAGTTGTTTTGTAAACTGTTCCTCAGCTTGATTTTGTCTGGCATTTCCTCATGATTAGATTCAGGTTAAACATTTTTGGCAGGAATGCCAAAATGCGCATCGCATTACAAGGCACCTGATGTCAGTTTTTCTCATTCTTAATGATGATGAATGATTGCTTGGTTAAGTTGGTACCTGCTAGGTTGGTAAACTTTTTAATAATTGTTTTCCTGGGATTTACCATCTGAGGTGCTACCTTGGCAATTCTGGGGTGTGACTTAGCATTATTTACTTTTTTAAGCTCACATGTAATTCTAAAATGAAGCCAGTTTGAGAACCACTGACTTAAGTCAACTTTCCATTCAGAGCAGGAATCCTGTCACCTGAAAGGTGGGCCATCTACCCCTTGTTTTGTTTTCTTATTTCTCCTAGTAACAGAATTACTGCTTGGCAGCCTCTTTTTCTTTTTGGATTCCACTGATTTTTTATTTATTATGCTTGGTTTACATCTGTCCTCTAAACCTTCCATCTATTTATTGGTCGGAGCTCTGCCTTCTAGAGCATTACAGAATAAGTTTAACTCTTCTTCATGTTTCTCATGTTTCTCCTAAATCTCAGTATACTCGGTTTGTCCTTTTGTTCCAATTTTGATATATTTCTAGAGCCTGTAACATTTTTGCTACAGAGAGCTGAGTGTAGCCCAGGTGTTTGTAACTTAGATATCTGTCCAACAGTGGACAAGGGTACAATTGGGCTATAATCTAAGTGCAGGGAAATGATGGTTTTGAATAGTTACAAGAGGAGAAAGGCATGAAAATGTTTCTGTTTGGTTTTCTAATGCCTGGAGTTCATGCATTTTATACGCGCACACACGGATTTATACATTGAATAGGGTCTCCTTTTGTAAAGGATATAGGGATCTTTTTTTCTTAGAGGTACTAACCGTAGCACAGAAAAATGAAAGTATGTCTCAAGATGAGCAGAACTGGAGAGTTTGTGCAAAGACTTTGGGGAAAATTGGGATATTTCATGTCAATCCTCTTTGGCCCAGATTCATAGGGATATGATTCTGGAAACTTTTGAGGTTTTGTGAGCCTGTGGTATGATTTGGAAGGTAAGAAGGTTTCCAGGTAGTACTCACCTTGGAATCCCTCCCTGGGTCCCTGAATCAACACATAGTGACCTCCTGCCCTGGTAGTTAACAGGCTCAAAGGGGAAACGGTAGTAAGAGCTCATTGCAATAGCCTTTGTTCAGTAGTTGAGAGATGTAGTCACCACAGACATAAACTCAAAAGTATTATAGTTCCCAGACCATTTCTGGCAAGACTGAAACATAAATAAGATGCTGCGTACACTGTGAATATAAGCATAACATTCTGCAGATGTAGTTAGGCCATTTTTAACATAGACAGGAAATTTGCCTGGTAGTGATCAAGACCTTGCCTTTAGGAAGGCAGCTTTGTGGTAGCTGCCTTAGTTCTAGCAAAAAAACAAATGGACAAGACGTTTTTTTCCACTACTGAATAGTTCTTCAGACTCTAATGGCCTACTTTCTACAAAATCAAGGACAGGTTATTTTGTTGTTGGGAGACAACTTAAATATAAAAAAGATAGCAGTATCTGCTTCAGGGTAAACAAGTTTTTCTGGACTGGAGTTTATAAGAATAAACTAACTTTCTTGGCCCTTGCTGTCATGCTAATCTTGAGATGTAAAACCCTGAGAATGTTCTTTGGGTTGCCACTCTCTGCGCCAAGATCACTCTACAGAAAGCTCTTCTGAGTTTTGTTGATGTAGTTGTCTTTTTTTTCATCATGAGAAAGTGCTAAGTTTGCTCAGGGAACCCATGTCATAGGTTACTAAGAAATGGGCATGCCAAATGGGTGTCCTGTGTGATTTGCACAGTACGGGAAACCCCAATAATTTGCTTTCTGTCCAGCAGTTCCCTTTCCCTCCAGACTTTTAGGTTGATGTGGAATTTGTCCCTTGGGCCCGATTGTATCCTTGGGAGGCCATTGCTAACTTACTGTGTTCTGTAGCCAGTGAAGGATTGTCTGCTCTTTCTCAGCAGCTGCTCTCATTGAGCTGTGTTTGAGCTTAGTTTAGTGCTGATTCCTATGTTTATCTTTGTGCATTTATCTTTGCATGTGTCCTGCTACCACCCTTTCTATCCTTATTTCATTCTTAAAATTTTCTTTGCTGCCATTCTGGCCTTTTGGGGCCTTGCTCCTAGCAGTTCTGGATCTTTCTGGTATACTTGGTGAGGTTGGGAAAAACGAAGCAGTCAAATGCCAGATCAAAAGCAGATGGAATTGCAGGCATGTTTGGGTAACTCCTAATCTGTTACTTTTAACAGTTATTATAGAATTAAAACAATTATGGAAACATTTTTACCTTTGACCACTGAAAGGTGCACAATATTGACTTGACAGATAGACCCCTTGTAAGATTTGTTTCCCCAAAGCAGCAGCAGCCTCCTGGATAAATTCAGGAAACTCAAAATCATGTGGGCAAATTATTTTCCCACATGTGGGAGAATATCTCCCATGTAATTGTTTCTTAAAAAAGGAGAGGTCATGGAAACTACTTTATTCCTACTCTAATTACCCATTGTCAGTAAAAAAGAAAGAACATAATTGGAATGATTAACGTTTTGCTTCTGATGGTTGATAAAGCATAAGTTTCTCCCATTTTACTCCAGGTTCTACCTTTAGTTTGAAACAAAATTGGTATTAAAGAACCATGGAGTTGTGAATTTGAATTGATGGCCTTGTTACAATTTTGAGTATTTTGCACCTCTCAAACAAAACATTCCAGTGTCTGAATCTTTCACACATAAGAAACACTTACCTGTGCTGCTGATTCTGCATGCATTGATTGGTGCAGGCTTCTGGAGTAGGCACAGGTCAGCATCAGGGTCCCATGTTCCTCTGTAACTGAGCTTATGTGCCTCTTCCCCTGGAAATGGGTGTTGGCTGATACCTTGAGAGTGATTTTTGGTGCTCTGCTCTGTTACTTTCATTGTTGGCTGATTGATTTGCATGCAAGAAGCTTTGCATATGACAAACTCTTTGAAAAAAGCTTGTATATCAATGGATGGTCAACAAATACAGAATCAGAACCATAGGGTGGACTAAATATGAATTGTAAAACCAGTTGAAGTTTAAAATGAATCAGTTGCAGTGATATTACTGGCATTCATCTGTGCCAGGGTGTCTTCCCAAGGCCTGCCACATTCCCTAGTTCACTCTCTGCAATTTGGAGACACTTCCTTGGTGGCACACAGGAGACTGCAAGCCAAATGTTGAGGAGAGGACTGCTTCCCTTTTGCAGTCACTGGGGCAAGATGTGGCGGATTGTAGCAGTTGGGCTTGTTTGTGGGGGAGTGTGTCTGGATTTTGACTTACCTCTGTTAGTCTCCGAGTATTGCTGCTATTTTTTTTCATTTAAATTTCAGTGGTTTTACATGTGATTATCCCAGGCATGTACCAGTCTGCCAGGCACCCTTCTGATGTGATGTGCTTGTTAACTCTTCAGAACAATGACAACGAGACGGCCCTCCATTGTGCAGCGCAGTATGGTCACATGGAGGTGGTGAAGGTCCTCTTAGAGGAGCTAACAGACCCCACTATGCGCAACAACAAATTTGAGACACCTCTGGACCTGGCTGCATTGTATGGGAGACTGGAGGTGGTGAAGATGCTCCTAAATGCACACCCCAACCTCTTGAGCTGCAACACTAAGAAGCACACCCCTCTGCACCTGGCAGCAAGGAATGGCCACAAAGCTGTGGTCCAGGTGCTCCTGGACGCAGGCATGGATAGCAACTACCAGGTAGGGGGATGGATATACCTCCCAGGCTCAAGGGATTTAGTCATTTTGGAAAAGGCACAAGTAGTACCATACTGCTGGGCTGTGTTCTTACTTAGCACATTTCACATCACATGTCAGATGCTTTCATTCATTGACACATTTTAATGTGAAATTTTAGAGACAAACTCCTCTAGTCTGCTATTTTTTTGTTTCTTTTCAGAGTAATATATCATCATTAAATCCTGAAAAGATGTGCTTGTGGACTATCTCCTGAAATTAGAAAAGTTTCGTTATCTTCCTGTACATGTGTTCCCACTGCCACCATTTAGCACCTCCAAAGTCCCATCAACTTGATATTGCCAACAGGAGGCTTAACATTTTGCTTTAACACTTTATGCGTTCAGATGAATGTCCATTCCTAAAGCTTTGCATTGACTAAACCACATTTGAAGTTTAGGTGTTTTTTTTCTCAGGGAAAAAGCAAGGCCATTTCTTCTTAGTATTCCTTCCACCCAAGAAGATGGAGTTTTAAAGCGTTTGACCAATAGGTGACCCCAAGAGTAACTGTGCATGTGTGGCCTGCTGGCGGCATATCAAATACCCTTAATGTACAGGCCACTATAGTGGTTTTGGAATCCAGATGAGAAAAGTGGGAAAGAGAATGAGAGAGGACTTTGTGTGGTTTATTTTCCCGTCCTTTCTTGTCTATGTCCCATTTGCCGTGTGAAGCCACGCCAAACCTGGTCACTGTTTTGATGACATCGTGCTCTGCGCTCTCGTTTGCTTTCCAGACGGAGAAGGGCAGTGCTTTGCATGAGGCTGCTTTGTTTGGCAAGACTGATGTGGTTCAAATCCTGCTGGCTGCAGGTGAGAGGTTGGCAGCGCTCTTGTCTACACAGCATTCCAGGGTTGGGATTGTCCCCCTAGCCTCCCCAGAGGGATATTTTTGTTGGCTGCATTTGAATCCAGTGTATGTATATTTTCACTGGTTGATTGCAAGTATATGGATTATTCTTAAATAGCTGATTAAATGCTTTGGATGAAAAATGTTGGTTATGCTGCTGGGAGCATTTGGGAGTCTTGGAATTTGACCCTCTTGAGGCTGACTTGAAAATGCTCATTCCCCTTGTCCACCTGGTGTGCCTTTCTAGGAATTGATGTCAACATCAAAGATAACCGTGGACTGACTGCCCTAGACACTGTCCGGGAACTGCCTTCTCAAAAAAGCCAGCAGATAGCAGCACTCATTGAAGGTATCAGTTCATCCCCCTGCTGGGGCAAACCAAGGCCTTTGTATTTGGTGCAGCTTTCTTTGTCTGTCCATGCAGATCACATGACTGGAAAAAGAAGCGGAAAAGAGGTAGATAAACCCCCCACACCCCAGCCACCACTCATCTCCAATATGGACTCCATATCCCAGAAGTCTCAGGGTAAGTAGGGGGCTCTTCTCTGCTAGTTAAGGGGCCCTCAGCTTGAAAAGAGTTGTATGTTCTTTGACAGAATGGAAAATATTAATTTAAATAATAATTTCAAGGGCGTTGGGAGGACCTAATAAGTTCATAATCAAATTCATTTTTTCTAATTACTATATGAAGTTCTATTGAACATAGCCTAGGCCTTTGACTATGGACATCTTCTTTCCTAGTTTATTCTCTGCTTTTTCAGTTGGCTTTATGAGATCTATTCCGAGATGTGAGGTAGGCAGCATGATCTCATGAGGAATTCAAATCTCAATGAAAGCTTCTTTTTCTAACACACACTATAGTGCTTTGAGCATAGCTGGCCCACAGTAAATATTTAATGAGTGTCATCTGTTTGGTAGAGTTGTATATGGCAGATTTTGGTAAAACATCATTTGATCAACAAATGTGGCCTGGGTGCTAGCTTAAGCAGTCCAGCCTCTCAGTAATTAGCCAGGATCCACCTTTTCAGATTTATTGAGCAGCATTTTGGATCTGAGAAACAAAATATTGACTGACACCTTCCACCAGATACAAATCAAAATATGGCAGGCCAGAGAAACGGAACAAAGTCAGGTACTAAAAAGGGAAAGAGATTTTTCAGAGGAGAGCAGAGGTGTTAGGTTAAAGGGTGCTCAGCTTGTCTTTACTGTGGAGTCCTTATCTCCCCTACCCCACCCCCCACCACTTGCACTTTTTTTCTTAATCTCATAATATACAAGTAATAGGATTAGTAGTTCACTGAACTCTCAGCTTTCAAGGATTTTACAGTTACAGTTTTGACTATCTGCAAGAGATCCAGAGATCCCTGGTCTGTAACAGTTGGTAATTTTGTAGAGTCAAATTTGGATCCCAGGTACTCTGAAGCTCACAGTTGTTTAGCGAGTGAACCTACCAGCTACATAGTGCCTCCATCTCAGAAAGGCTGCACCATCCTCTATTTTGTGTAGGACATGGAGGTTCTTACTAAGAATTTAAAGGATTACTTAAGTTTTTCAGTTAAACTTTGCTACATTTTGTGGCTTAAATTTATGCTATCATGGTATCAGGGTATTTGGGAATTCATAAAGGTCTTGGGAGATATCCCTTATAGATGTCAAGGGTTTTACAATTCAATTAGAGAAAAATCTCTTTAAAACTCAGGGTACAAAGAGCAGCTAAAACTCTCTGTACAGTTCACCATTGAACCTCACTGGGGTTAAGGGTGCTGATCCCCTGTGCAGGTGAAAATCTGTGTATAGCTTCTGGCTCCTCTAAAACTTAACTAATAGCATACTGTTGACTAGAAGCCTTACCAATAACATAAACAGTTGATTAACATGTATTTTGCATGTTATATGTATTATATACTGTATTCTTAAAATAAAGTAAGCTGGAGAAAAGAATACTTTTTCAAATTGTCACAGATCTCAAAAAATTTCCCAGTATATTGGGAAAGTGGATCCTCACAGTTCAAATCTCTGTTGTTCAAGTCAGCTGTATTTGTTCCTGTCTGTAGAGCAAAGCAGTCATTTATTTTCTTGCTCTGGGCTAGTGTTTGTCAAGTTCAGGTTGCTGAAGGGGCTTTGGGTTATTGCAGTGGTTGGAAATCCGAGGTCATGCTCTCCTTTCGTTGACTGCATTGCCCTCTAACCTCCTCCTCAGGTGATGTGGAGAAAACAGTGACTGAACTGGTCATCGATTTTGACACAAATGCTGAAGAGGAGGGTGTCTATGAGACACTGTACAGTGCTGTCTCCTGCCATTCGTTGGACAGCACTGCCAGTGGGCAATCCTCGGACCGAGACTCTATGAACAAGGAGGCCGAGGCAACAGGAGTGAAAGCTGCTGGAGTGAGGCCTGTATGTGACCTGGGGCCCTCAACAGCCTTTGGAGCATGTTGTCAGACTGTGCTTCAAGGGGGGGCACTGGGGAGAGTGTGACTGCTAGTGCCAGCTCACTTTTCAGAAGCCTGGATCCTGCTCCCCCTGCTCTCTCTCTGCCACATCTCCCACTTGCTCAGTGTTTAAAACTATACAGATTACATTGAGGTAGAATTTCAGTTTTTCCAATTTCAGTATAACCTATTTGTATCTTTCTGTTAGTTTTTGGCCTTAGAGCAAATTAAAGTATTTTATTTCTATTTAAATGTAGTGCTGCTTCTATCTTTGGGGTCTTTTTTATATATTGTTTGTTTTTCTCTCTGGAGAGTAGTTCCAACAGTAAAAGTGCTCATTGAAGTAAGTTCCTGTCCACCCTGAAGACATTCTCATCTTCCATTTACTCTGAGTTACTGTTTTGGGACAACTTCTCTGTTCAGCCAGGTGGTAGGAAGGCTCAGTCAGGTATCATATGTATGTGGCATTCCTATTTTTCCCAATTATTACCCCTCTAGCTATTGGAATAATGGGATAAGAACAACCCTGAATTTTTCCTTCTCAAGGTCTACCTTCTCATCTTCCTGCTGCTTTCTCTAGGACTTGCTTCTACTTCCAGTCTTGTACAGTGTCCCTAACACTCCTTACTCCCTTTTTCTCCCCCAGGTTTTTCTGTGAACCTAGACCTGAATCCATGGTCAGTGACCTTCCTTCATTGCCAGGCACAATAATTTTAGGTTTCGAATACTATTACTTTTATGAAATTGGCTGTTGCTCTATCAGGATCCCATGATAATTCTACCTTGAGGCATATTTTCAGGTGTATATTATTTCTTCCTGTTGCAGAGGCTGGCCTTGACTTTTGGTCTGAATCTGACTTAAGACGTTTTGATGATCCGTTGGCTGCTAGGGAATCCTTGGGATTTCAGGTGTGCCCTGGGAATGGCCTAATGTTTCTTGGTGTTCTTTTGTGTTAGGCTCCTTGCTCTGCCCTGGAATAGTCCCATCGTTTCAATATGGATTTTGAAAGGGCCTCCCAGCTTGTTGGAGCCCACCAGAGTGGGTATTATCAAGGCCTGTGATAAAACTCCTTGCGGGTGATGAAAGCATGTGCATACATCAGGCTTCTTTAGACAGAACTAGTTTTTTTCACTTCTTTCACTGCTAGGTACAAATGAATTAGGCCAATTCACCAGTGGAGGAAGATGGCTTTTAGTGGTACTTACAGGTGATGCCCATTAGAGGGAGCTGGAGGCTTTGTAAGAAGACAGGGTTACTGTAGTAAGCTTTGAGTAAACCCAGTTTCGGCGGGGCTTAGCCGCTGTTTACACAGCCTCTTTGTTCCATCTCACTCTGGGAATCTAGCCTCCTATGGTCCTGTCACATAGAAACTGATGCATCCTGGGGTGCGTGTTTTGCATTTGTACTTGAGTGTGTTGTGGCTCTGCTGCTTTCCTGATCCTTGGTAAGTAACTGTGGCTGAAGAACTATTCTACATCTTGTAAACACAATATATGATATATGTAAATCAGCTCTGTACTTCGAGGCCCTTGGTCAGAGTTTTCATGTTAGAAAAAAGAGGTTCATGCTTCTCTTTTTTTCCAGTGTCCCTAGTGATCACTTCTTCCACAAAAGGCTTTCATGTTGTTTATTCTAGGCTCCATTAGCTTTGGGAAGGCTTCCAGGATGGGTCCTGTTTGTTGTTGTGTTTCATTTGTTTTTCCTCAGTTACTGTGTCCCCAGGTTGGATAACTGGTGTAGATCATGAATGAGCCTATTCCGTTTGCTATTCCTTTCCTTACAATGTGGCCCTGGGACCATGCTTGTCTCTGCATTTCTGGTGTAAAGAAGGGTGGGGAAAGTGGGACATAGTGGGAAATCTGACCTAAATAGCTTTATTTGACTTGAACATATGGACCTGTTTGGAATTTTTTGCCAGTAGGCATCCATCTGGTTCCAGGGAATGTGGGAATAATGATTTATCAAGATACAACACCGAATAGTGAAGTATGTTCTAACAGAGAGCATGAATGCCCAGTGCTAGCTGACTAAACACGAGAAACGTTTCCACAGATTTCTCTGAGGCTTTCCATAATGCAACATTCACATCTCCCCTGACTTTTAAAAATACTCCTGTTCTAGCCACACAGTGACCTAACCTACCAGCCAGGCAAGAGCCTGTAAACCAACTCCTGTTTTAGGTTCCCACTCTGTTGAAATATTGATTATCAAGCATAAATAGACCTTTGGATTCAGCTTTTTTTCACTAAAGATCATTTTGTGTATTCCTGAAACTGTCTACCAGGATCTCACTAGTCCCCTCTTCACTGAGTTTCTTGCTGTAGAGCAGGGATTGGTAAATTATAACCCACAAACAGCTGCCTGTTTTGGTGAATAAAGTTTTACTGGGATACTGTCACATCATTTACATATTCTCTAGAGCTTCTTTTGTTAAGAGGTGGCAGAGTTGATTGCAAAGCCTATGGCCCTTAAAAAAAAAAAGCCTGTCAATCCCTGCTCTAGGGCAAATAACTGACAAATACTCCTTTTTAAAATGGGCTGACACAAAATAGGGGTTTCATATGCTAATGATACATAATAGTAATCGTTGAAGGAGGTGACCCAAGGATAATACACCAGTTCTGAGCTTTTGCTAATAAATGGGGACAGCATTAAAGTTTGAGCATGATTTGTTGTTTTGGTCCTTGATTACTTTCCTCAATACTTCCTTAATAACTTTGTTAGAACTCTTTTGACAAGTCCATTTTTGTGATTTACTGTTTCTTTTTAGTGTAGACTGAAAGTTGAGCCACTGGTTTTCCTAGGCTTGAGTTTTATGTATCAGTTCTGTGAAGGACATTTTCTGACAAGGCAGTTATGTGCTTTCAGTGCTAATGTTTCTCACTAATCTAGATATGAAAGGGGTGTTTATAATCTCTGCTGTGAGCATCAAAAAACAAAGAGCATGCTAATTGAATGTGTGTGTGTGTGTGAAAGAGAGAGAGAGTAGGGTTCTCCATCTCTTCAGTAGTCTCTGAAAGGAGTTCCTTATATTATTCTTTCTCACTTCCAAAGGCTGAGACAAGAATAAACAAAAAGATTTGATACTTGAAAAAAGAGATAGTGAAATACTTTCTTTGTCTTTTCTACAGAGGGAACGTCCCCCGCCTCCAGCAAAGCCACCACCTGATGAAGAGGAGGAAGACCACATAGATACGAAGTATATTCCCTTGACAGCTTCTGAGGTAGAGGTTTAAGGATTTATTTCCATCACCACTGAAATACAGTTTTTTGGAAAGTGCATCAATGCTTGCTTGAAGAAAACTTTGTTTCTCATTTTCTTATCACCTCTTTGAATTAGTAAACTTGTGTATATCCATAATTGAAAGGAAAGGAGCGACACACAGCAGCAATTCACCGGAGAATTCCGCTTTATTAGGGAAAGGTGCTGGGTTATATAGGAAGGGGGCATGGGGTGATTGTGGTGTTACTTCTACGAGGCTGGTGGCTGGTGGTTAGGTGCTGGGATTGGGAGGGGGGCGAGAGGTGATTGGGCTTCAGGTGGCGTCGGCGGGAACCAAGAACCCCGAAGAGAAGCCGGAAGTTTGCCATCTTACTGGTGGGGACCCTTCATTCCCCCCTTTCTCCTCTATGGGGTTGTGGATCTAGTTTTTTTCACTTCTTTCACTGCTAGGTACAAATGAATTAGGCCAATTCACCAGTGGAGGAAGATGGCTTTTAGTGGTACTTACAGGTGATGCCCATTAGAGGGAGCTGGAGGCTTTGTAAGAAGACAGGGTTACTGTAGTAAGCTTTGAGTAAACCCAGTTTCGGCGGGGCTTAGCCGCTGTTTACACAGCCTCTTTGTTCCATCTCACTCTGGGAATCTAGCCTCCTATGGTCCTGTCACATAGAAACTGATGCATCCTGGGGTGCGTGTTTTGCATTTGTACTTGAGTGTGTTGTGGCTCTGCTGCTTTCCTGATCCTTGGTAAGTAACTGTGGCTGAAGAACTATTCTACATCTTGTAAACACAATATATGATATATGTAAATCAGCTCTGTACTTCGAGGCCCTTGGTCAGAGTTTTCATGTTAGAAAAAAGAGGTTCATGCTTCTCTTTTTTTCCAGTGTCCCTAGTGATCACTTCTTCCACAAAAGGCTTTCATGTTGTTTATTCTAGGCTCCATTAGCTTTGGGAAGGCTTCCAGGATGGGTCCTGTTTGTTGTTGTGTTTCATTTGTTTTTCCTCAGTTACTGTGTCCCCAGGTTGGATAACTGGTGTAGATCATGAATGAGCCTATTCCGTTTGCTATTCCTTTCCTTACAATGTGGCCCTGGGACCATGCTTGTCTCTGCATTTCTGGTGTAAAGAAGGGTGGGGAAAGTGGGACATAGTGGGAAATCTGACCTAAATAGCTTTATTTGACTTGAACATATGGACCTGTTTGGAATTTTTTGCCAGTAGGCATCCATCTGGTTCCAGGGAATGTGGGAATAATGATTTATCAAGATACAACACCGAATAGTGAAGTATGTTCTAACAGAGAGCATGAATGCCCAGTGCTAGCTGACTAAACACGAGAAACGTTTCCACAGATTTCTCTGAGGCTTTCCATAATGCAACATTCACATCTCCCCTGACTTTTAAAAATACTCCTGTTCTAGCCACACAGTGACCTAACCTACCAGCCAGGCAAGAGCCTGTAAACCAACTCCTGTTTTAGGTTCCCACTCTGTTGAAATATTGATTATCAAGCATAAATAGACCTTTGGATTCAGCTTTTTTTCACTAAAGATCATTTTGTGTATTCCTGAAACTGTCTACCAGGATCTCACTAGTCCCCTCTTCACTGAGTTTCTTGCTGTAGAGCAGGGATTGGTAAATTATAACCCACAAACAGCTGCCTGTTTTGGTGAATAAAGTTTTACTGGGATACTGTCACATCATTTACATATTCTCTAGAGCTTCTTTTGTTAAGAGGTGGCAGAGTTGATTGCAAAGCCTATGGCCCTTAAAAAAAAAAAGCCTGTCAATCCCTGCTCTAGGGCAAATAACTGACAAATACTCCTTTTTAAAATGGGCTGACACAAAATAGGGGTTTCATATGCTAATGATACATAATAGTAATCGTTGAAGGAGGTGACCCAAGGATAATACACCAGTTCTGAGCTTTTGCTAATAAATGGGGACAGCATTAAAGTTTGAGCATGATTTGTTGTTTTGGTCCTTGATTACTTTCCTCAATACTTCCTTAATAACTTTGTTAGAACTCTTTTGACAAGTCCATTTTTGTGATTTACTGTTTCTTTTTAGTGTAGACTGAAAGTTGAGCCACTGGTTTTCCTAGGCTTGAGTTTTATGTATCAGTTCTGTGAAGGACATTTTCTGACAAGGCAGTTATGTGCTTTCAGTGCTAATGTTTCTCACTAATCTAGATATGAAAGGGGTGTTTATAATCTCTGCTGTGAGCATCAAAAAACAAAGAGCATGCTAATTGAATGTGTGTGTGTGTGTGAAAGAGAGAGAGAGTAGGGTTCTCCATCTCTTCAGTAGTCTCTGAAAGGAGTTCCTTATATTATTCTTTCTCACTTCCAAAGGCTGAGACAAGAATAAACAAAAAGATTTGATACTTGAAAAAAGAGATAGTGAAATACTTTCTTTGTCTTTTCTACAGAGGGAACGTCCCCCGCCTCCAGCAAAGCCACCACCTGATGAAGAGGAGGAAGACCACATAGATACGAAGTATATTCCCTTGACAGCTTCTGAGGTAGAGGTTTAAGGATTTATTTCCATCACCACTGAAATACAGTTTTTTGGAAAGTGCATCAGTGCTTGCTTGAAGAAAACTTTGTTTCTCATTTTCTTATCACCTCTTTGAATTAGTAAACTTGTGTATATCCATAATTGAAAGGAAAGGAGCGACACACAGCAGCAATTCACCGGAGAATTCCGCTTTATTAGGGAAAGGTGCTGGGTTATATAGGAAGGGGGCATGGGGTGATTGTGGTGTTACTTCTACGAGGCTGGTGGCTGGTGGTTAGGTGCTGGGATTGGGAGGGGGGCGAGAGGTGATTGGGCTTCAGGTGGCGTCGGCGGGAACCAAGAACCCCGAAGAGAAGCCGGAAGTTTGCCATCTTACTGGTGGGGACCCTTCATTCCCCCCTTTCTCCTCTATGGGGTTGTGGATGTTGCTTTCTCTCTGACTGCTTCCTGCTGAACAGGGGCGGAGAAGGGAGTGAGGGCTTGAGG